ATTTTGGACAATCTCGCCCAGTTTTACGCTTGTTTTATTCAGAAAGAGAATCACCTCTTCACATCACCATTAAGGGAAGTGATCTTGGCTACTCATTTTTAATTTCTCAATTTTTCACAGCATAAAGTATGATGATAATACAAAAATGAAGCATGACTATAATTCAACTCCAAGTATCAAATATAGAAATGCTTTCAAAGTCTGATAGAAAATTTATCATCAGAACGTGAATATTTTCTATTAAGAGAGTGGCTCTTCCACATAGTAACAGCAAGATAACATTACATTAAAGTACCAAAATAGCCAGTTGAGTAACTTTGAGACTCCTAGAAGATGAACTGATTGATTGCTTGGACCTCAGCTGTGGCTTGACCGCAGAACTCTGAGATCACCCAAACACGATCGATTCTGTGGTGTATTAACAAAGTCTGACGTAGGCAAAAAGCAAATTCTTGCAGTTCTATTAGTAAGATTATGTATTACAAATATTCTCAGCCCAGATTTTGTTACGTTATACTTTCTCCAGTTATTTCACATGCTATCACAAAATCCTCAAGTATAATTTAGTTTTAACATCATTACTTCCTATTTATATAATACAATGCTTTATAGTTGACTAAGCCCCTTCACCTACCAGTTCATCTGATCCTCATAAAAACCTCCTATGGCAGGTAGAGCAAATATTATCCTCGTTTTATACCTGCTGGAACTGAACACAGAGGGATTAAGTGTTCCACAGAGCTAGGAAATCAGATCTAAAATCCAGGTATTCTGGCAATATTTCATTTTGTGTGACCTTGGGTATTGTCTCTGCCTCAACGTCTTCAAATGTTTCAATAACTTCCTCAAAAGTAAGGAAAAGGAATTACACACCAAACATCAGCTTTTTCAACATTTTCAGTTGAGGAGAACTAGTCTTAACATTTGTTACCTTAAAATTTTTAATTCCCGGAATGTGAATGTAGACACTGAGCAAGCAGCAGCCAAATTTCATAACAATTGCAAAAGCCACCTTTAACATACTCAGTGCCAATCTCTACATTCTCTCTCTCTCTCTCCCCCGACCCCTCCCACCCCTCCGCCTCTTCCACAACACAATTCTATGAAATCATCTTAGGAGGGAAGCACTACACCTCCACACCTAACACAGCAGGCAGTGGGCTTAAATCTCATAAATCTGGTAGGCCATGAAATCTCTCTAACACATGCATTGGGAGAAACATGTAATTTCTCTCATCTTAAAAAACCAAAACCAAAACTTTCCTTGACTCTTCTGGACTTCACAAATTACTCAAAAGAGAGTCTGTCTGTAACTTACTCTTCAATCCAGTTCCTCCAATTCTCCCTGGAATCTGCTCCACCCTGGCTTTTGTCTCTACCATTTCACCGAAACCACTCGCCAAGATCACTAACATCCTCCTCACCGCTAAATCTTCTGATCAATTTTCGGCTGGCATCTTACCTAACCCATCTGCAGCATCTGACAAGGTGGGTTACTACTGCTTCCCTCAGTGTCTAGAGTATCACGACTTACACCTTCCTGCCTGTTCCTCAGTCTGCCCTGCTGACTCCATGGGACCAGGAGAGGCCCCAGACCACTCTTCTCACTCCCTTGGTGGCCTCAATCCTTCTTATGACTTTGAACAACAGTTCAATGCTAATGACTCCAAATTTGCCTTTTGAATCCTGACCTCCCACTGAAGTCCAGACTCTGCCTACATGACCTTTCTGCTTAGATGTCTAAAGAGGAATCTCAAATTTAATGTGTTTAAAACTGAGCTCCTAGTGCTGCCTCCAATCGGTCCCTCCACAATCCACACCCGCCTCATCTCAGCAAAGGCACCTCCACTCAGTTGTTCAAGCTGAAAATTGTGGAGTCTTCCCTGACACCCCTTTTTGTCTCTTATCCCATATTTAATTTCACAACAACATATAACTAGAATTCCATCATTTCTCATCACATCCCTTACTTATGGTCTCAGGCACCATCATCTCTCAGCTGGGTCACTGCAGTAGTCTCAGTGGGTCTCTCTGCTTTTACCCTTGCAAACACCCCCACCCCCAGCCCAGAGTATTCAAATCACATTAGCTTCAATAGAAAGATCATGTCGCTTCTCTCCTTAAAATCCACCAATTCTTTTTCATCTCACTGGAAGCCAAAACCCATACAATAACCACCGCTCACACTGCTAGGGGAAAGGGATCCCAATCCAGACCCCAAGGGAGGATTCTTGTCTCTCATGCAAGAAAGAATTTGAGGCAAGTCCATAAAGTGAAAGTAAGTTCATCCGGAAAGTGAAATAAAAGAATGGCTACCCTATAGACAGAGCAGCCCTGAGGGTGTCTGGTTGCCCATTTTTATGGTTATTTCTTGATTATATGCTAAACAAGGGGTGGATTATTTATGCCTCCCCTTTTTATGGGGTACCAACCTGTCACTGTCCTGGCATTTGTAAACTGTCATGGTGCTGGTGGGAGTGTAGCAATGAATGAGGACGACCGGAGGTCACTCTCGTCACCCACTGTCGTCGCCATCTTAGTTTTGGTGGGTTCTGGCCGGCTTCTTTACTGCAACCTTTTTTATTAGCAAGGTCTTTATGACTTGTATCTTGTGCTGACGTCCTATCTCATCCTGTGACTTAGAATGCCTAAGTGTTTGGGAATGCAGCCCAGGAGGTCTCAGCCTTATTTTACCCAGCCCCTACTCAAGATGGGGTTGCTCTGGTTTAAATGCCTCTGACAACATGATGTGACCATCCATATCCTCTCATCTTTTTTTTTTGAGACAGAGTCTTACCCTGTCGCCAGGCTGGAGTGCAGTGACACTATCTCGGCTCACAGCAACCTCTGCCTCCCGGGTTCAAGCGATTCCCCTGCCTCAGCCTCCTGAGTAGCTGGGACTACAGGCACCCACCACCACGCCCGGCTAATTTTTTGTATTTTAGTAGATACGGGGTTTCACCACGTTGGCCAGAATGGTCTCAATCTCCTGACCTCGTGATCCACCTAGACTTAGCCTCCCAAAGTGCTGGGATTACAGCCCCTTCACTCACTCCACTCCATTCACTAGCCTCCTTCCACTTTCAAACAAGCCAGGCACGTTTCTGCCTCGAGGTCTTTGCATTTGCTATCCTCTCTACCTACAATACTCTTCCCCCAAACACCCACAGGCTCTTTCCATCAACTTCTTCACATCTTCTCACTGAGGCCTTCCCTGAACACCTTCTTTACCAGTGAACTCTTCAGCCCTTACCCTTGCCTGCCTTACATTTCTCCAAAGCACTCATTGCCTTCTTATATACTACATATTGTACTTTTTTATTTGTTCTTAGTCTGTGTCTTCCTGCTAGAATGTTACCTCCATGAAGGCAGAGAGTTTAGTTCATTTTGTTCACTACTGTATCACCAATACCTACAATACTGTCTGACACATGGTAGGTAGTCAATAAATATTTGATGAATCAAAGAACCACATTCTTAAAACAATACAAATGTATATGAATTGATCCATATGGGGCCCAGAAAGTTCAAGAGCTACAGAATGCTAGGTACTGGATGACTAAGAATGTTGATTGTATGTGATGATATAGATCAATTCTATCCAAAAGAAATATAATGCAAGCTACAAGTAATTTTAAATTTTCTAGCAGTCACATAAAAAAGTAAACGAAAACAAGTGATATTAATTTTAATAATGTTTTAATTCAATATATCCAAAATATTATCATTTCAATATAAAACCTAATATTTTAACCTTTTTTAATTTTTTTTTTGAAATACAGTAATTTCTGCAGAGCACATTTCCATTAGTACTACTCATATTTCAAACGTCTGATAGCTACATGTGGCATGCGGCCAGTTGCTACCATATTGGACAACACAGATTTGGACCAAAAGTAAATAATCCCACTGCAGTGGGGAATATCTTGCAGATTTATTCATTGTTTTTATTTTAAGATTACCAAACAAGGCCCTGGTACAACTTCATGGTTTACTAGTTTTGTCAAAACAGTTTCAAAGGATATAGTACGAGGAATAATAGCTCTTGTTCTGAGAAACCGTTTGTTTTCAAGGTAACTGACTCAACACTTAAAACACTTTAAACTTCATTCAGGTGTTTTGATTAGAAAGAATGAAAGCCATTCTTCCCTAGTCTGTTTGAGAAACAAAGCTAAATCCAGAGAGATTCTGTGATCTTATCTACATTAGTATCAGAAAAATCATTATTTTCAAATAGAAACAACTATTAAAATTATATTTCCACTAAACCAGTATTTTTTCAAATTAACCAAAATGCATCCTGTATTCAAAGATAATTTTTATATACAGTTGCATTTTTAAAATGTATTAACAGTTGTTTTACCAATTTTTTTAATATTTTATAATGTAAAAGTGAAATAAAGCACTAAGGAGAACTTTTTTTTTTTTTTTTTTTTTTTTTTTGACAGAGCCTCTCTGTCACCCAGGCTGGAGTGCAGTGGCACAAGTCTCAGCTCACTGCAACCTCTGCCTCCCGGGTTCAAGCGATTCTCCTGCCTCAGCCTCTAGAGTAGCTGGGATTATGGGCACCCGCCACCACGACTGGCTAATTTTTGCATTTTTAATTTTGCATTTTAGTCAAGATGGGATTTCACCATGTTGGCCAGGCTGGTCTCCAACTCCTGGCCTCAGGTGATCCACCTGCCTCAGCCTCCCAAAGTGATGGGATTACAGGCATGAGCCACTGCGCCTGGCCTAAATTTTTAATATATGTATTTAAATCCTATGTTTCTTGAATGCTAAAGTGTTATGTATGGAGAATGTGTTCATTAACTCTTTTCTATCATCGGGGATTAATTTCTTCCAGAATCCCATTATTTACAAAATATTCACTTACTAAAATCATCATAATAATTGCATTATTCAACAACAAAATTTAAAGAACCCAATTAAAGTTTATAGTATGTTAAAACTTTAAACCTTTTTAAAAAGCAGTAAAACAAACAGAAGAATCTACTTACTCAGCTGTTACAGGGTGTTATCAGTCATCTCTGGTAAATTAGCAGGTCTGAGCTCAGATCAGCAAGGCAGAGAAACTCCAGATGGTAAATTATCCCAACTCTTCTAACTCGTAAAAGCATTAATAAAATGCCTGTGTAAGAAAGAAACCTGAAGTTACAACCAAGACAGAACTTTCTCGAGTGGACTGTCTTGATAGGGAATAAACCTCTGTTTCCTCTTTTCTTTCCTTGAGGGCTTAGAACAAGTTAATTCATGGCCTTGGAGTAGCAGGTGGCCTGATACAGCAATACTTGGTATTATAACTGCCTTTCTGTTTTAAGAAATCTCTGGGGAGAAGCCTAAATTGGTGCAATAAAATATCCACCCAGTACTAGAACTTGCTCCCTTTTTTTTTCCTTTTTGAGACAGAGTCTCGCACTGTCGCCCAGGCTGGAGTGCAACAGCATAGTCTCTGCTCACTGCAATCTCCGCCTTCCAGGTTCAAGTGATTCTCCTGCCTCAGTCTCCCAAGTAGCTGGGATTACAGGCTCCCACTACCGCACCAGGCTAATTTTTATCTTTTTAGTAGAGACAGGGTTTTGCCATGTTGGCCAGGCTGGTCTTAAACTCCTGACCTCAAGTGATCCACCCGCCTCGGCCTCCCAAAGTGCTAGGATTACAGGCGTGAGCCACCGCACCTGGCCTTTATTATTTTTGAGAGAGGGTCTGGCTCTGTCACACAGGCTGGAGTGCAGTGATGAGATCTCAGTTCACTGCAGCCTCTGCCTCCCAGGCTCAAGTGATCCTCCCACCTTAGCCCCTTGGGTAGCTGGGACCACAGGTGCACACCACCACACCTGGCTAATTTTTTGTATTTTTGGTAGAGACAGGGGTTTCAACCATGTTGCCCAGGCTGGTCTCAAATTCCTGAGCTCAAGCGATCTGCCAGCCTCAGCCTCCCAAAGTGCTGGGATTACAGACATGAGCCACCGCACCTGGCCATAATGAGTTTTCTTAACAGATTCTGTCTCCTAATATTGATTCATTGGTATTTTTTTCTAGAAAAAAAATTTAATAAGGTCTCATTATTTTTACTTTTCACAAGGTTGCCACAATCTTTTTCAAAGTTACGGCTGATTCTTCTCAACTGACATTATTTTTAACAAGAAAATGGAGAATGTGTTCATTAACTCTTTTCTATCATTGGGGATTAATTTCTGCTTATGGAAGTAAGAAACCTGGTTAAGTGCAAAGCAAATTCTGCTAAAGAGAGGATATCCTCACTTCTGTTTCTATACCAAAATTATACATATCTTAGACTAAGTATTTTCACAGGTATTATCTTTTTGCCTAAATTGGTGGGGTTTTCCCCCCCTTCTGCCCCTCCGATCCATTCACCATGACATACTTCATTATGGGTCGTATGTTTTTCTCCAATGCAAATCTCACCATGTGACTCCCCAACTAAAACAGTTTTCAATGTTTCCCATTGCTCTTAGACATGATATCCCATAAGCTATAATATGGAGGCTTCCAAAGCCCTGCATGACCTGCTCCCTTCCCACCTCTCAGGCCACTCTGGTCTTCTCTCAAATCCCCAAAAGCACCAGCGTCTCTCTCGCCTGCCCCAGGGCCTTTGCAAGGTCTGTTCCCTTTGCTGGGATGCTCTTTTCAGCCATGGTCATCTTTCACATCTGAGAGACCTTTGTATGCCTCCCCATCTAGGTCACACCATGCTCCTCTCCCTCTCTTCCTCTCAAAAGCACTCTGTACTCTTCCTGCAAAGCGCTCGACCAAACCTGTATTTGTATGTTTTTAGAAAGCCTATCTCCACCAGACTGTGACAACTTCATGAGGGTGTAGAGCTCGTGCCTGTTTGATTAGTCCCTTAACCACCACTGTTCCCAGCACCTAACGGTCCTTGGCACCTTGTGAACTTACAATAAGTATTCATTAAGTGAATGAATAAAAGACTGAGAGGCAGGGGCAGGTGGCAAGGACAACCTAGTTATTTCAGTCCGTTGTTATCTATGATCCTAAATCCAACTACATCATCAGCTTTTCCCTCTACACAGGATGATTCTCATCACTGTAGAAGGTCTGTGGTTTTAGGAAAGGAGGAAAGGAGGGAGGGAGGGAGGCCTTCCTGCCTACTGGCCTTTCCTCTTTACCCCCCAGTCTCACGAATTAACTCCCCATTTCTCTAATCCAATTTTATAAGAATACTCAAAAGAGCTGACTCCATCTGCTGTCTCCAATTCTTTCTTCCTATTCCCATCAGGCTTTGTCCCCACTGCTCCCCTAAAACTGCTATTGTTAAAGCCAGCAATGTCTTTGACTGTGAAATACCCAAAAGCCAGGTACAGGGAGAGGTGCTTTAAAGGAATTATCTCATCCATTTACTTTTTCTTTTTAAAAATTTTTTAAATTGAATTTTTAAAAGATGGAATGCTTCGCAAATATGCATGCCATCCTTGTCCAGGGGCCACACCACTCCTCCCTGTATCACTTCAATTTTAGCATATGTGCTGCCAAAGCGAGCATTCTTTCTTTCTTTTTAGACAGGGTCTCACTCTGTCATCCAGGCTGGAGTGCAGTGGGGCAATCATAACTCACTGCAGTCTCAAACTCCTGGAACAAGTGATCCTCCCACCGCAGCCTCCTGAGTTGCCGAGGCCACAGGCACATGGCACCACATCCAGCTTATTTTATTTTTTGGAATGGGGTCTTTCTTGCTTAGGCTGGTCATCCACTTGAACAGTTCATAGGCTGGACATGGTGGCTCACGCCTGTAATGCAAGCACTTTGAGAGGTCAAGGCAGGAGGATTGCTTGAGTCCAAGAGTTTGATACCAACCTGGGCAACACAGCAAGACTCCTTCTCTACAAAAAAATAAAAAAAGTAGCTGGGTGTGGTGGTGGCAATGCCTATGGTCCTAGTTACTTGGGAGGCTGAGACGGGAGAACTGCTTGAGTCCAAGAGGTCAAGGTTGCAGTGAGCTGTGATCATGCCAATGCCCTCCAGCTTGGCAACAGAGCTAGACCCTGTCTCAGCAAAAATTTTTTTAAATAAACAGTTCATCACCACCACCTGATGAGGTAGGTACCATTGTTATCCCCAGAGAGAGGTTAACTGAATTCATTCAAGACGACTTGGGCAAAAAAGCAGCAGAAACCATTTTCACTCAATCTAACGTTCACTGTTCAGTCTTCCTCTTACTGGACCTGCCAGTGGCACAGACAGAGCTGATCACTCTCCTCTTTCTTTAAACACTTTCTTTGCTTGGTTGCCAGGACACCACAACCTACTGACTCTCCTCCTCCTTCACTGGCCATTCTTTAAACCACTTATCATCATCCAGTCTCTCAATGCCGGAGGGACCGGGACTCTCAGTTCTCGAACTTTCCTATCTACACTCCCTCCCCCCTCCTGGTCATCTCAGTGGGTCTCATCACCTTAAATAAGAGTGTGAACCTCTTCCCTGAACTCAAGGCTCATTTTTCAGGCTTCTCCTTGACATCTCTACCTGGATGTCTAATAGACATTCCCCTCTTAATATCATGCCACGCCAAATTCCTGATGCTCCCCTAGGGCCCCACGCCTGAAGCTCCTACAGGCTTGCTCTTCTCAGGCAAGGATAACTCCATCCTCCAAGTCATCTTGGCCTTTTCTCTTTCCCTCACACCCTCTACCCAGTTCATGAGCAAACCCTGCTGGCTCCATCTTAAAACTACATCTGAATTCTAAGTACTTCTTCCTGCTCCGACCACTGCCATGCGAGCCTCCCTCGTCTCCATGGATGACTACAGTAGCCTGGGAGCTGATGGTCCCTTGCCTTACTTGCCTGCTGGGAGTCGAAAATGCACTACTATGACCACACTGAAGTCTTTCAGTTGAGACTGTCAGAGTAAAGATGAATTGTTTGTTACACTTGTCCCTCATATATTTCAGGAAAGAGTTGTTTCTTCCACGTTACATTAGTTCTGAAGATTTAAATTGCTTTCTATTATGAAAACCTGTATTAACAAATGCAAGGTCACTGAAATAATATTCTATTGTTGCCCTTGACTCTGAAATGAATTCGAGTTCTGTGTGGGCAAAAATATTAGCCCAGCTCTTAAAGATCCACGGAAAATGTTGTTTGCTTTCTTCAAAGCTTAAAAGCATCCCATTAATCATCAAAATAAGATATCTCCACTGCAGGCATTTATTTGTTACTTGAAGATGAACAGAACAGAATCAGCACCTATACAAAAACCACACTGACAATATCTAATATTTTAGAGAAAATGAAATCGGATGGTCCTCTTAACAATCGTGGTATTTTCTAAACTCCCCGCCTCCTTTGTTTTGTTTAGTCAGGGTCTTGCTCTGTCACCCAACTGTGGTGCAGTGGTACCCGCATAGCTCACTGCGGCCTTCAACTCCTGGACTTAAATGACCCTACTGCCTCAGCCTGCTGAGTAGCTAGGACTACAGGCACACACCAACATACCCAGGTTTTGTTTTTTTTTTTTTTTTTTTGTCGAGAAGGGGTCTCACTTTGTTGCCCAGGCTGGTCTTGAATTCTAGCCTCAAACCATCCTCCAGCCTCAGCCTCCCAAAGTAATGGGACTACAGGTATGAGCCACTGCACCAGGCCTATTCTCCTTTCTTTTACTACAGCCCCCAAAAAGCACAGGCCCTGGATTCAGTGCCTCCAAAACTCCCTTTTGCTAGTCTGGCTCCAGGGCTCAGCACATGTACTTCCCAAGTCGTTGTTTTCTTTGATCTCCTTAGACTCTCTGCCTCCTAGAGAATCTAATCCACACGAACTGCGCTCCTGGGTCTTTTACATAACTGTGGTTTTTCACAAGGTTCTTTAAACAAAGGTCCACGTGATAGATTTCTGCTCAAGCTTAGTTCCAGGAAACGTTTGGTTTCTGCAGATGTTTACATGCTTCCGGCTGTCAGCACATGAAAACAATATAATTCTGTTTCTTTTCCTCACTTTAGCAACTAGAGAGCATAAAATCAAATATATTGTTCAAATCTGTTCATCACTGGTATATGGAAATACTTAATCCTTAAACTTTTTTTTAGGTGAGGTTAGTCTTATTTTTTATTATTTTGCCTTTTGGCCTAAATGTGGTAAGTGGTTTCAGAAACATG